CTTAAACTGCATTCGTTTAAAGGTGATGAACGCATACAGGCAAAGCTGGCTTTACACACATCACAGAAGTTCAAAACAAAGCTACTTAAAATGAGTACCCAATATTTCTATTCATTGTCAACAAAAAAGTTGTGTAGTTGCTAAGGGCTGTAAAAGTATCAAGGCCTTCTTAAGTTTAGAAGTAGGAAAGTGTGATGTAGAAACTTTTAATGAGATGCCCACATGTGTTGAGTATGCTACTTTACCTATGTATCATTCTCAGAGGCTATTGTTTAATATCAGCTACACGTTTAGTGAAAAGTAACTATGATATTCTGTCTAAACTTTATCATTTGAGACATTGTCATTTTAACCTGTGATACGGCCACCTGGAGTTCAGATGCAAACGTGGCTCTCAAGGTATTACTATATTAACATTTGTGAAAAATTAGAGTTGGGACGAGATTTTCAATGAGTGGTCAGTACTGTACGATAAAGTTAGCTGTTGTAACGTGTGAATGGAAGCACTATAAGCTATTTTACAAATAAAATGAGAACGCGTGAATATAAAGACTTTCTGGACAAAACAATAGGCTATAAACGTGTGTATTAAAATAATAATGCACCAACTTTGCTTGCGCCTCGTCCAGGCTTTGGTCGGTGATGGTCATGATCTGATGCAGAATGTCACCGATGTCTTGTTTTCTTCCATCCCCATCGGTTCCGTCGTGTCCATGTGGAGGCGGCAGAGCCATGCCTCCCTGTACCGAGTGACCGGCCAGGCTGACACCGCCGAGAGCCTGCATGATCCGGGCTTGCTCGTCCATAGTCCGCCGCAACACAATCAATGCGCTCGTGCTCAGTCACTGAGATGGGTGAAATAAAGTCGGATAATGCACATGCAAAAACAACTTGTTTATTTCATGTGCGGTGGTTAACGGGTCGCTATCGTGCACAAAATATTGACCGTGAAGCAACGCAGCACATACGATAAATCGCTGGATGAAATATAGTGGAATTGATGTCCCAGGAATCACTTTATGGAAAAGATTTAAATCGTCTTTGATCCTCCTGTATGAATGTCCATCGGAGAAAAATTAGCGATGCTATTTCGTGCCTATTATTTAAGTAAACTTCAGCGTTCAGGGGACAGTGGTTGCCCGTTCAATCCTGTCTGAATCTTCATGCCAATTTGTCTTTTTCTTTGAAGAGCTGGGGTCCTTTGCAGATGTCTGGGATTCTTATTTGCGGTCTTCTTAGGATAATTTCGCCTTGTGCACTTCTGGAAAACTTGGACAAATCCGTAGTATTACAAAGAGTTGCAAGCAAAACATCCCATGCCTCTGATGGAAAGTAACAATGAATCAAAATTAATGATTATGTAATTAAAAATAAGCACACTGAGTGTGAACAACAGGCAAAAATATTGCCTTTGAAAAGATTTTCCAAAAATAAAATATAAGAAAATAAAAGAAGCCGAGTGAAATAAATTAAACCATCAGCACCGGCGACCAGAGCTATAAAGATTGTAGGAAAAAATATATAAAAGCGTATAAAAAAAGTTTTCTCACTTTCAGTAGGGAAAATAGAAAAACTGGCGAAAAAATTAATCACGCGCCATAAAGCGAAGCGCAAAAATATCTGCTGGCGGAAATTTATGAGTCGAGCGCGCGGGCTGTGTGTGCTTTATGTTGTTTGATGGCAGCAGTAGTGAGCGATTGACAATGTGCCAATGCCATTCACTCAGTGCAGACGTGTCAGAGAAGAAAAAAAGATACAAAATCGACATCAAAATGCACGCTCCGCCCTGCAGAGGAGGGGTCTTAGATTCTTGTCACTTCTCGCCGAAGCCCCCGAAAACAAAACGCCAGTTAGCTACTAATGATACTGCTGGTGATGATAATGATGAGACCAGAGCATCAAATCAACAGCGTTTGAGTCTCCACTTTACGCTTGCCTCATTTAAAAGCGCGCTCGTGCATTGAGATGCCGTTACATTATAACCATTTCCAATAAAACAAACAAAAGGTCGGAGTTTTATATTGTCTGATTCAAACTAATAATGAATTGCACGGGCCCCCTCGCTTCCTTACACCACAGTATGGTCGCCTCCAACAAGCCGCGCTCGCAGGGGCAGGAAAGCAGGACATGTTTATAATATTGGAAATAGACGCCGCGAACCAATCAGCGAGGGGTTCGTGGTTGAGCGACGGCCCCAAGGACCAACGGCTGGCTCCCGCTGAGCAAGAACGCCCGCCTTCAGAGCTCAATACCTTTGCTACGGTTGTACAGAGAGATATCAACTTCTGATTGGCCGTTGCCACGGGTGACATCTACTGCAAAAGCAGGCGGCGCTCCTCGGCAGTTGCTATGGTAGCAGACTGCTCGGTGGGCTTAAAGCAAAGAGACACACTGAAACATATCTGCGCCTTCCTCCGGTTGCCTCGCTTCTTACATACGCTTTCCTAAACCCACTGTGGTTTTCCCGCCAAACCACTGTATTTTCGATTCCAAATCACTACATTTCACGTAGGCTGGCGTTGTTGCGATTTAAAATAGGCGTCTTTTGTTCAAAATCATAAACCTACACCGTTTTGTTGGATTTTTGTTCTTGTGCTGAGGTAAATAAGAGCTCATCACAGACCAAAAACTATTACAAAGGATATATATATATATATATATATATGTGTGTGTGTGTGTGTGTGGTAACTCCACTATACATATTTGTATTATTTGATTATGTGTAGGCTATATTTGACTAAAAGCACTATTGTTTCATTGCCTAGTTCATTCTATTAAAGTTTACAGTTCACATCTTTAGGCTATGAGAAACTTCAACTTTTTAATCTTCTACTGCTTATTGCATTGATGCATTAAATTATTTTATTTGTAATTTCATCTATTTAAATAATGTTGTAATAATCTATATTTAGTGGTCGAAAGCGTTCGGACAATATTTATTGCGCTAATTTAATCAGCTGTTACAAATGAGCCAATTTCATTTTATTTGTGAGTGAAAAAAGTTGCACTTTGCCACGAGACACTGTATGTACCTGTTAATATTCACAGTGAAATCCTCTGGTGCCATAGCTGAGGTAATGCATTTCGGCAGGGTGGCACTCGAGACATGGCAGCCACTGATGTGATGGGACTAATTACCAAGAATTAGAGACACATACCGAGGAAACAGAGCTGTTAATTTTTGCACAGTAAGAAAGTCAATCAGACACCCTTCCAAAGGCACCAACATGTGATGCTACGCTGAGAATTTGTGAAAGCTGGCACCAGAAAGTCCCGTTCCGTAGTGCATGATCTGACTGAAGGCCCAGTGGATTGCCTCCATCACTGACACACTCAACACGGGGAATTTACACAGGCTAATTAAAGAGTGAATAATCAGATATGCAGAAAATCAAAACTTCGTCTGGGATGAACCAGTTCAGGATAAACAATGCAAAAAGCACAGAAGGATCTGTCAGCATGCCTGGAGCTTCATGATGTTCAATTTATAGCATTTATTTTGATGCCAAAATGTAAGTACATATATGTAGACATGGTTTTGATTATAGAATAATGAGATCACAAAGTGCTGTAACGGATTGAGATCATTTTCACTTATTAAATATGAACACATTTTTACTACAGTTTTAAGAAGTTAAAACTAAAAATGATTTCATGTCTGGTCTATAATTTGCTTTGTGATTATGTTAATAAATGTTAAGTGACAGAACTGGTCTGAATCAGCAGTTTCTAATGTTCAGTTTAATATATAACATCCACACAAGTCTTTCATCTATATATTAAAAATCTGTTCCAACTGACAAGTGTTTTTAACCTCGTTTCCAAAGTACCTGTGGACTGCATAATTTAATAACTAAAGTGAATTTGCTGCATATTTGCTGCATAAACTTGAGTGAATGTTACACAGACATTTTGTTATCTTAATCGGGACATTCCATAGACCTATATATATATATATATTGGTCCCAAAAATATGGTTATGTACGCACACACACTGGTTTTAACTTGTTTAATATATTTGTTCTGAATTTGTTTAGAATTTCATTGGCTTTTGAATTACTTTTTTAACAGATAAATACAGAAATATTATATAAATGTTTGAGTTACATCTTCCATTATGTAGAGTAATTTAATGTGACATTTAGGCTATATCAGACGGACAATATCGGCTATATGGTCCTAAATACACTACAACATGATGTTGTTCTGTAATAGTTTGATATAAGCACCATATTTAATACACAACCATTGGCTTTTGATTTACACATCAATCCTCCTGAACAATACAGATCAAACAGTAGAATTTATAGTGGCATATTTACTTCAACTCTTGTGTATGAATTGGTGTTCAGAGCAATTGATTAAATTCTTCGGGTGCAATAAGTGGGTGATATATTAGTCATGGATCATGTTAACACAGTTACTGGATCCTGAGCAAGAATAATGAGCTCACCTTTAATTAACCATTTCACACATATCACAGAGTAAGACAACATGCCACAAGCACTGTAATTCAATTGTTTTGGCTGCGACTGAGTGCATGTGTGTGTGTGCGTGTGTGTTTCACCTTAATTTATATAGTCGTTGTCATTTTTATTATCAGTGTGTAAATGAACTAGATTGAATATAGCATGTGTGGCTGACAGATTATGAATTTTTTTAATCACAAACATCCAAAAATCACGAAACGACACTGTAACACAACATCTGTGTTTATAAGCACGTCACATGAATTTAAGCAACATAACATTTATCGAAGTTAGGAAGCAGACAAGAGGCGCTCGCTCCCTCGTTCTTTTTAGCAAGCTGTGTGGTTCAGCTCTTTCATATTCACTTGACCTTGAAGTATCAGCCCAGCACACTCCTGAGTTTAGTGAATGGAAGTCCCAGACCCACTGCATTTATCACTGAAATACTGTGCTGTCAGGTGGCTCTGTATACCTGTCATAGAGGGCTCAAAGGAACAGCTCCAGATCCTCTCCTCCACAACACCTCATGATTCTTCATTGCCTTACGTTGCATGCCTTTCCACCATTGTTTTCAGCCATATGTCAACATAATTCATTTTCCCCAAGTATGACAGCAAATCTTTTGGTGGGAGGGGAAAAAAAGACACTTCAGCTTATTGTGGTCATGATGCCATGCTTACATAATGACATAAACACAATTTCTATTATTGGATGTTTACTGCCCACTTGCTTCAGCCAACTTAAAGCGCAGTACGCCTATATACTGAGATTCTTGAAAATATCAGCCAAAGTTTCTCCCAAATATGGCCATTGTAACCTCGCTGTCGTCAGTAGTAACTGTTGTTATTATTATTGCTCTTGGACAGAAACCCACCGTTCAGGATTATTTTTTACTACACCAGGTTTTTTTTTTGTCCTACACATACTATTTTTTCACCCCAAGTGGTTACTCTTACTTTTGGAGAGAAAAACATTATCCACAAAAAAAAAAATAAAATTGTCTTAGCATTTGTCATGCCAAAAAAGTCGACCGCAAAAAACTTTCGCAAAAAAACGAATAAATAAATATTGCAATAATGATGTCTGATAAGATTGTGATGCAGAATCTGGTATGCGTATACCAGATTCTGCATCAAAATCTTATCAGACATCAAATAAAAAACATTAAAAGCATAACAGACCCTTTTCACATTAGCAGGGTTCTCAGAAGATGAAGTCATCATAGTTGGGTAAACTTTTATAGTGATGAACGAAAACTACAACAAATATAATTTTTGTGTTCCTATTTGCTCCAAAAGCAAAAGAAAAAATCCATGATAGCATTTCTAAAAAAAAAATAAAAAATAGAGAGACTGATTAAGTTGGTTGAAAGAGTGAAAGATGTCCAATTCCTGACATTCCCTCAGTCATTGTGTTAGAAACACTTATGCAGCAGCATTAACTAGTTTTTTGACATTTAAAATGTAACACTAGGTATAGTTTTATAAATGTACAGTACATATAAAAAAAAAGAAAAGAAAATATTAAAAATGTTGCAAGGATTAATAACTGTAAAATGTGTCATAAAATTTTGTGAAAAGGGTCCATAAAAATGAGTTACATAAGAAAAGTATGTTAAATAATGATGTAGATATTATTTATTGCTTATTTAAAAATGAATAAAAATCTAGCGCAATACTACTGTTCATAGCTCCTTTTTATGTCTTCAGTATTTAATTATTTATCGCTTATTTATGCATATAGGGGTGCTAATTAGTCAAATAATCGTTCTTACCTGACAGGTTTAATTGACAGTCTCAAAACAAATAGCCCCTGTCTCCTAACATACACATCTTTTTTTCAGGAGAATGAAGTTTTTGAAAACTGAACAGGCTGTCACCTTACTTTTTTTTTTTGTAGTGACAGCCAAAAAAAAGGGGCCCACAGGTGTCTCAGAAAGCAGTGACTGTGTTGTCATAATTCATTTAGGCATCCTTCTGCAAAGCCATAATTACCTAATTAGCTTGTTAATTAGGAGATTAGCATTTACTGATAGAGTGGCTTGTTTAGTGAGGGGTGGAGTGGAGTTCCAGTGGAGTAAGTTACGAGTGTGTTGCTTTAAAGTGCCTCCCAAGTCATTTCCCTCCCTATTCAGGTCAGATCTCAGCCTTGATGAAAAGATGTTAAAAGTATTGAAAAGTTATGCAAATTGAAGGTTTGAGCATCAACCTTATTGATACATTTTGAAGTTTAAATGGGACTTATTTTCTTTAATTTTATCATCAAATAGCCTAAGAAACACAAACATACCTTTGCAATGTGTTTAGGATTCCAGCTGAACTGCTGAGCATTGCTCTCTGTCTCATTGCCCGGGTTACAGCACAAGCAGTCTAGCAACTCAATAGCCTCTCGTCTATATGTCGCCAAGTCATGTCCTGTTGCTGAGGAAGATTGGAGGAAATTACTTGAATGGACAGTGCCAGAGACATTACTAACCATATTAGCACCAGTCTCTTATCTAGTTTATGTGTTTGTTTATTCATTTCCCGATATTCACTGCATGCAGGTCATACGTCAATGTTACCGTCAGACAGGCTTTATGTTTAAGAAGGCCAGTCTTGGGCAGTAAATAACTAGAAGTAGTGAAAGTAGTCATTTCAGTAAGGTTACTATTTTAGGTCATTTTTATTCAACACACAGCTTTACTGTGTAGCGAATAATAAAATGCACTCTCCTACACTGTGCTTTCTTTCATATGTAGAATTGGGGAATCTGGTTCATTTTAATAAACCAGGCTCATGAAAATCAAGAAGTTCAAATAAACAATTCACTCTCAGTGGAATACTTCATCTTCATTTTTTATATCAAAATAATAAGTTAAGCATTCACTAAAATTACTATGCTTCTGACTTTGTTGTAGAACTTGAAGCATGCCTAGTTTTATTTATTGTGTTTAAGTGTAATAATCACACACACATACATACACACACATACATGTATATATATATATATATATATATATATATATATATATATATATATATATATATATATATATATATACACATACAATAGTAGCCTATTTATTAAAAATATAAAATTAGCATTTAGTTGCTGTTAGTACCTAGTAATGTAGCTCAATTTTAAAACTTGTGATTGTAGTTTAACCCTTAAATGTGTTGAAAATCAAATCAATATTTTGAACAAAAAAAACAATGGTTTAAATTCTGTTTGAAAATCTGATCCTTTAATAATATGAAATTGTTTTCCTTATAACTAGTATTAGCTTGTAATTTGCACTATACAGTTTCAAAGTAGTTTCTCTAATGCTGATTAGTGAGTCTGTTTTGAATTATAGCCAATATTAGGATTTAGAAAAACAGATTTTTTTACTAGTGTTTCACACTGTGGTGTGTTGTTAGTTTAGATAGCGTGACTGCTTTGTTTTTCCAATTTCTTTTTATGTTTAAAAAGGCAAAATTGTTATCCAACTGAATGCAGTTTTCCTAATTATGTCTTATTATATTTTTTTTAGGGGTAAAAGAATATTAAAACATGAATTCTATTTTTACAGTTCTGGTCTATATATGTCCCTATAGCTTAACTTCTTCACCCGGCAGGCATCCTCTTCATTCAATCAAAGCTGCTCAGGCTCTCTCCCAGGCCAGGTTGATAAATAAGAGGGAAATATTGTGTCTGCCAGGGCATGTTGTTAACTCTCCCTCCACAGTCATTAACTCATTTCGAGTGCAATCATAGAGTGGGAGGTAAATTAACAAACCATTAAAAAAATTTATAAATGCACAATTAGCATGCCAACATTTACAGGACACATTCATGGAGCTGCAATAATTTTTGATTGGGGCGGTTCTATTTCGTCCCTCCTCTCTCCCTATTTGTCGGTCTGCCTGTGTGCTGTTTCTCTCTCTGACCGTCAGTCTCTACAGACATTTTGGTCTGGTGCCTGTTTGGCGAAGAAATTGAGGGAATGAAGCCTGATTTAATAGGTCATTGATGGTGGACACTCACCTCTTACATCATAGAGCTGAAGAAAGATAAGAGACGGACAATGAGAGGAAAAGAAAAAATATGGGAGACATGGAGGGCTTTTCCCCTTCCATCTTCTCTTTTTCATTTGCTACATTAATAGTTGTGCTGGTTGGATGAATTACGTGCCGGTTTGTAATAGTAAGGATGATGATACAGCAGAGGGCAGCCTGCATGAGGCACCGCAGAACCTGGAGAATCTCTTCCTCAGCTTCCTGGGTCGATTGTAATAGGGTCATTAGCTAGTCTGGATCATATTTTAACATTTAGCCCCAGGTTATTGCATGTAACTTGCTTGATGGTCTCCGATATGAGATTACTGCTAAATCGATGAGCTAATGAAACCGTAATGGTGTATTTCAATCAAATATCAAATTAATGTTTTTTTTTATAAAGGATAGCTTCGTTTTGACAGGTTAGTAACAATGTCCTGTTAAAAAGAAGTAGGCCCCTCAGGTTGTAAAAAAGATCTTTACCATTTCTTAAATCACTGAAGAGAGCCTGATAAAACCGCCAGCGTGCTTTTTTCCATTGAGTGGAGAGCTGTTAAGAAGTCAACTTTGAGTAACTTACATTTCAGACAAGATATTGCCAGTTACTTTTCCAGTTTCAACCCACCGTGGAATACAGTTTCAAACGAAGCCAAAACAGAATCAAATGCTGCGTCACCGATCAACAACCGTGAATCATTGTTTTGAAAGCGAATCGTTTGAGGGAATGATTCCATGACTCGCACACAAATACACTGGCTTGTATCGTTCCTGAATGGATTAGTATTAAAGTCCTTGTTAGTATATTTGAAACAAATCTAGTAAATGATTCAATGTCTCACGGCAGTTTCGATTCTGAATAAATCAGTGATTTTGAACAAATTGTTACAATTCGATGATGACTAGAATGATTATGTGAAGAGGTGGGATTTCAGATTGCTTTTCTTTCCTTTCGCACTGTGAAGTGAAAAACTGTTTTGATACAATAAATAAGGTACTGAATTGTTTTTATTTTATTTAAATGTTTTTTCGTTTTAGTTCCTAGTACTGTCCTTGATTTGAAAATGTTAGTACAGACAGCCTGAATATCTCCTTTTACTACTTGCTATTGATTTTTGGTACAATATGCCAAGTCTTATCATATGAGGAGCATTCATTTGACCTAGAAAAGTCAAGTCATCACCACCATTTATGTGCACAAATTCATCAAGTATAGTGGTGTTACATTTGTGGCATAATATTGATTACCACAAATAATGAATTTCCACTTTTCTAAAAAAAATAATAATAATAATAAAAGCACAAATCAGGGTTATAATGAGGTACTTAAACGTTAAAATTCTCACTGTTTCAATGGTATAACCACAATTCATTAACAGTACACGTTAAAACGAATTTAGTGGGGAACAAAATCCTTTTCTGTGTTATATTAAATTTTATACTTTTACTTCTTTGCCATGACAAAACACTAAAAACCTTAAAATGACAATAAAAATGATTATTTAACAGCTTTTTACAGCTCAAATAAAACAGAAAAAATGTAAAATTCAATTAAAGTAGCCCCATTCACAATAATCACGATTTTTGCTTTTTAAAAATGAAGCATCCTCTTACTTTCAGCACAACAGCGCATTCACAGATATTAACTCTATACCAGGACCAGGTATGTGACTAGCATACCAACCTGACCACTCCTACCCATTTCTGCTTTAACACAGATCTAGGAACAGTAATCCATCTATTTCTGCTCATCTGCTATGAATTAAACATAGACGCAGGTCAGCACACAGTGTGTCTAAATCACTGCAGCCCGGCTGCCCTTAGCTCAACTTCTCTATTGACATAATGTCAGATATGACACTATTACTCAGCGAGTGGCGATGGTCATTTGATAAATAGTACCATAAATTGTTGACAAAACAATTTGTGATGTATTATGTTCGTGATGGGTTGTACTGCTTATCAAATCAAGTAATCTGGTGGCGGACGCCATTAATCAGCCTAATGTGCATAATCCTGCTGCTGATGGGAGACGACTTGCAGATTGTGGATGGTTTTGCACACAATTCTCTGTTTTAGATTTAACCAACACGCTTAGAAAATAAAGGTTCTATGAAGAACATCCAAGGCAAGAAGTTTATGCAGATGAACACTTTTCATTTCAAAAAAGGGATTTTCACAGCAAAGCCATAGAAGAAATGTTTTTGGTTTCCTAAAGAACTGTTCAGTGAACAGCTCTTTTTTTCTTTGTGTGAACAATATTTTAAAATAATATGTAAAAATAGTTGTATTTTCCTCTACACCCCTTTTGGTACATACATTTTAAGAGTGTACTCTCCTAAAACTAAAGATTTCAAAAGGGTGTTTTCACAGCAATGTCATGAAAAAATAAAATAAAATTGGGGTTCTCCAAAAAAACCTCTCAGTGAACAGTTCTTAAAATAATCATTTTGTGATTTTAATTATCTAAAGAACCTTCTTCCACTACAAAGAACCTTCTCTCCAATGGAAAGGTTCAAGGTTCTTCATGGAGCCATAAATAAGAGTCAAGAATGAAATGGTTGTTTTTTTGAACATTTCACTGGCAGGTTCGTTGAGGAACCAAAGCTTGTTCTTCTGTGTCATTACTATGAAAACTTATTTTCGATTGTTCAGCAGCTATACTGAGTGTATGTTGATGCTCACATTTTCTTTTGTTTTAGTTTATGCTGAACTAGATTGTGCTATATTGTAGTCTCATATTCTTACATAAAAATTTTTTAAGTATCTCTTTATTGCCTTTATTGTAGCATTTTTAAAGCATATATTTGCATAGAACACATATTTATGTCTCTTAAATGCCCATTTGATTTTAGAGCGAAGCGCTAAGAGACATTAATTGTAGCAGTCGCATTCTAAAAGTTTTCAAATCTCATTTCAAATGATTCTGTATGGAAAAAGTTTCGAATTAGCAAAAAGCACAATTTATCTCAGACCGGCAGTCATGTCATGTTGGTTCTTAGCCGATTCCCATTACATTCTCTCTCCTCAGCAGACTACACACTCTGTAGTGCCGCTGTGTGGTGTGTTTCCACGCTAAGTGAGCAGCGGATATCTCAGCTATCTCTGCTGGTGAACTTGCTCATCTCTCCTGTCAGATACAGATGACAGAGTGTTCTTTTCAAAAGCCCACCACAGACAGGAGGACTTGTTTAATGTGCGACAACATCCTGTGATCACTCAGCTCTCTGTATTATGAGCAGAGCTCTGTATGTCCGTTTGCAAAGGCTCAAAGACTTGAAACGTCTGAAGGAAGGAGCGACAGATACAGACACAATGTGTGGAAGTCCACGAGAGCAACACAAAAGCTGCTTATCAACTCTTGATAAGAGTTGAAAGGGTTTGCCTTTGTTTCAGCTGTCCGCATCACTTGTAATTGAGAGGCTGTCTAATGTTGAAATGATTAAAACTGAACCATTCACACACCATTAAGACACCATGACTGTCATCCCAGCAGGTTTACAACATATTTCAGTATTATGTCTTTACATTCGTTTTTTTCCCTCGCTTTAATGTGTATTTTGAAGTAAAAACCAAGAAGCTTTTGAAGACATGTTACTGCTCAGTAAAAAAAACATAGACAAAATGAAGTTTTATACTTCACTGATTTTTTTATTTTTATTTGCTGCATGTTACATTTTTTTCATTCTTAAATGTTTCTGTAATTTTCCAAATATCTATTGTCTAATATTTCAGTAGAACTTTAATATAGCTTTCATTAATAATGTTAACTGCAGATCATACAGTTGAAAAGATTATTTTTCAAAAATAAGGTAAATAAGGTAAATATCATCCTGTTAGATATGACAACAGTGTCTGGTCAAATTGATTGCATTATTAAAAATGCTAAAATATTAGATTTAAAAATGATCCATACAAAAAAAGTTAATTTTAGGATAACTTCTTTTTTTTTCACCCATGTATGACATCACCTGTTTCGCTCTTTGCCATTGTTTTAATGTAGTCTGTGGTGAAAAGTGATCAGAAGGCTTCTTGCCCTTTGCTAATTAGAATCTACCATGAAAAGCCTGGAGATTTATGAAAGGGTTCGCACATACACCCGTAAGTCTTTCCTCTGCACCGGTTTAAAGTCAAGCAACCTTGAGACGGAGGGAAACAGATTGCTCACAAAAAAAAGAAAACAGGTTCATGCGGCACATTTTGAACAAAGATTAATTAAAAAGCTAATTGCGATACATATTTTTTACAGAGAGAAATTGAGGCATTTTAAAGAGTGATGCATAATTTCCACCATCTTTATCATTAAGGAAATTTCCACTCCAGCCAAAAAAACCCCTCTTTTTTTAGCTTGACTAATAACATCAGGCCTTTTTCCGCTGTTTTGTGAATGAGGTAAAAATCGTGGATTGCAAAGGTCTGCTGCTTGCTGGTGAATGCATCTGTAAAACATAGTAATTAAGTCAAGCTGTCAATCATCGGAGGGTTTGGTGGGGAGTGGGTGGCAGATGATCGAGGGGCGTTAAAAACTCACTTTTAAAAGAAAAAAAAATCACTGAATGAATCTAAAGGTCTAATCAATACATAAAGGCATTCTTTCAATTTTATAGAATTTTATATAGATTTAATATCATTATAGATATTTCCCCCATTCTTTATTAATTATTTTATATGATGGATTTATGTTTGGTTAATGTACTGTATGTTACTTTCTCTTAGCAGTGAATAATTCTACATTCAAATAAGTTACATTACACTAAAAGAATTCTGAGAGGACATCACCCTGTGATTTGGTAATGCAAGTAATGCTAACTTGAGCTTCCCATGCACTGAATCAAATGTGCTGATAACAGAGCAATAAGGTAATGGCTGCTGAGTCTAATTTCTTGGCTCGTTCTGCCAATACATGTACTATAAATCTGAGGGTGTTTTTAGTGCTATTTTTTCCAAAAAGCGAAGGAACTGAGACTACGACAGCACGTTCAAACTTGAATGTTAACTTTGTGAGCAGAGCGGAGCGGTATAATGCAGTGCTGTTGCCTGTTCATCTCTCATGAATGTGCCATTTCAGCACTGCTGAAGTCATTAACAGTCCCTCTGGTTTAATGAGTAAACCCAGTCCAATCTAACATTCACCACCCCATTTTCTCATTTAATACTCAAATCCTTTTTAAAAATTGATAGCTGTAACTTTGCTTTTTTTTCAGACACAATAAGATGAATAGCAATAAATGTGTTTTCTTGGAAACAGAAGGTGAAGTTTGTTCTCCTTTAAATAATGAAGCCACATAATGTGCATGATAAACAAGAACAATAGTCACAATAAAACTAATAAGATAAAATATGAAATTGTGAACTTTATAGTTGTTGTAATTATTATTAATTTTATTAGCAGATCTAGGAACAGCAATCCATCTACATTGAAAATTTTGGAGTAGGAAGTAGTGAAATAGTATTTTCTTGTAAAATGCGCTCCAATAATTCAATTTTTTTTTACAACTTTGAAAAAAAAAATACAATGTATTTCTGTTTATCTGCTATGAAATAAACATGACCAACTAAAAAATTTCTAAATTAATAATTATTATTTTTACAATTATTAATAATATGTCAAATATATATGAGGCATAAGCAAACATGGTCAACAAATGGTCTCTATTATTTTATTATTTTTAATT